GAATAATTTTATTATTTATTTTACTTTTATATATTATTTAATATAAATTTTTAAAAAGTATAAGTTTATTTTTTAAGTGGATTTTTTTTTCGGAATTACTGGGACCGACTGTAGGTAGGTAGTTATGCCGCCAGAGATGATTGATCAATACTTTCGCGCTCCATCCAATCATGCTGGGGTCCGCTCGTCATCTGCTTGTCAGCCAATAGCGAACTACGCACATGGCAACTTACAGAGCGTCTCAATCTTGTGTGCTTCAGTGACTTGGTAGAATGGCCACGCCAACTCCTTATGCTGCCGTGTCGCATCACAATTGAATAGACCGAGCCATACTAAATTGAATAAGTAGCACATCGTTAGTGGCATACATAGTTTTTATGCCGCGTCTTGCGAAATGATAGCTGAGAAATCTCCCATCTGTCCCTCGCTGTTGTTGCGGTCTCGGCCTCTTGGTGACCCACTTTGGCTGCGATTTTGGGCTGCTCTGTGCTGTAAGTGGAATCAATCAGCAACTTACCGGAGCCATTTATACATCCAAGTTGCCACATCCAGTGAATTCTACATAATGTTCTGTACTCTGTATATACTGTGAAATTTAGCACGTTGACTTGCCCGTCTCGTGCACACGTACACAGACTTGGCATCAAGAGTAAAATGCACGCGTTCCACGTGTCAATATTAAGTAATCTTCAAAAGAAAAGCCAAAGCCTCAAACCCTCGAGCCATTATCAATCGCTGTCCATTCGCCGTAATACAAGGGTGTCGCCATAGCCTTAGCCACCACTGAAATGTGATTGTTCCCCCCTGCCCCGTTCTACAGCCCCTATCGCTCTTCAATTGGTATCTTCACTATATCCCTAATGTGCAAGTCTCGCGTCCAGGCCCATGACCGAACGATCACCATGGTATCTCAAAGAAAAAAAAAGAAAAAAGAAAAAAAAAAGAGTAGAAATAAGACTGGCAGAAAGGATGGATAATAGCAATGCTGGGTGTAATGGTACAAAAGAAATATGCCAAATCATGCAGGTGCCCACGCTTCAACGATGGACTGCGTATTAGATGTACATGCTTCCTCCTAGCTTTTGAAAATAGATCTAAATATATAATGCTTGGGCTGTGTGGGTATGGAGTACAGAGAGAGTGGTTGTATAGAGAAAAAAAAAAGGGTCGAGAGGCAAGCGGATGCCAAAAGAAATTATCAATATTAACCGACATTACGGTAGATTGATTGTAAAGAGTTGTTGATTAGCATGTTAGAGGTCTCAAATATGATTATATGTTTGTAAATCGATATGGTTTCGGCAACCGTGCCAGCGTTGCGAAATAGCGGGGGTATAGATTCCGTGTAACAAGCAGTGTCCATGAGAAACAGTAATGGATGTAATAGGAGTGTAGAACCATATTCCCGATGTTCCTACATGCCCAGCATTGTAGGTACCATTTCTGGAGGAATGCTCTCATGAGGGGTTGCCTTTTTGGCTGGTCGAAGACTTTCCATGCTCACCACTCTGTTCCACGAAGCTGGTCGCTTGTGGGGAACTGGAGTTGCTGGTCGAACCGTTGACGTTTGACTCGCATTCATTGTGTAATCATAATCATATAGGCCATGTGGAATATCAACTTGTGGAGGGTAGGGGTCAAAGGATTCCATAGTGCACCAAGACTGGTGAGGATTCTGCTCCATCTGCATTGCGTACATCATCGGACCATGAACAGGCGTGTTGATTTGCTTTGGTAGGTCTTGCTGCACTTCGGGAGCAAACTGTGGAGCATCGGCCGGCCAGGCAGATTCGTTTGGGATCGGGTAGGGCGTTCCAGGGTGAGGGCCGCTTGGCAAGTCGTCACCCATGACGGTATCAACGTTCCCGTTAGGGCCGCTCACAGGTACACTAGTAAAGCTGGCGGCAGAGCCGGCAGGTGTGGTACTTGGGCCGACAACACTAGCGGGAGTTGGTGGACGCGATGATCGTTTGCCCTTTCGACTGGGTAACCTGAAAACAGATTGGGATATGCTTGAGCGGCTTGATCGGCGTTTCGTCGTGGTTAGGATCGAAGAAGTGTCATCGTCGGGCTTGGGGCTTGCTGCATTGGCAGCGTTGTGTCCGGGGGAGTTAATCAGACAATGATTTCGGTAAGGAAGTTGAAAGTATATGTCGATTTCTGCTGGTGGAGGCGTGACTGGAGACGTGAAGGGAGCTGTGCCCAGAATAAAGGCCAGCCGAACCAGGTTGGAAATATCATTCCCAAGGTGACGGCATTCAAGCATCCGTTTAAGATCCCCTGATGACCGTGGCCGCCAATGTAACCCCTGTCGCTTCTCTTTGGGCCATATACAGGTCTTCCAGGTGGATTTAACTTGTGGCTGTCTCATCAAATTTTGAATCAGTACTTTGTATTCCCAATCCTTGACGTCAAACCCGTCCTCGAAGTGTTTGGCGATGTGTTCAAAGTGCTTGTCCCGCGTTGCAGAGGCGTCTTCAGCCGATTGCGATTCAAACAAACGATCTTTACAAGCGGCAAACCCACACGAAAAGACAAGCTGGGTACATAGCTCTGTTCGTGCTGTGCTATTCGGCAAAGCTTTCACTCTATGTGCCTCTTTGGCATGAGTGCTATACGCTCTCTCAGTAGAGAAGGAAAGATGACAGCCCTTGGTGCGGCAGATCCAGATAACATCAGCACCGTGGAAGTTGTGCAGATGCTTCTTAAAGTCGCTTTTGCGTCCAAAGCCCACAGGGCTGTTGTCAAGAAAGCACATCGGGCATTGATACTTCTTCGAAGTAGGAGCAACCAAAGGCGGAGACGGATGGGAAGTCACATCATTCGGCGGGAGCGGTACGGGGTCAGCGGCTGGTGAATCCAACCAAGATCGCTCGCTAATTTTGGTGGGTTCCGGATCATGCATCGGCTGCATATCGTGGGACACGTCAGGCCAAGTGTATTGGGTGTTGATAGAAGCATCGTCCGACCTGCAGTGAGATACATCTGAACCAGTCCAGGCCAAAGAGGGCGCGCTGATGCTACTAAGAAGTGTGCTTGCTGAGAATGTGGACGCCCCAGCTACATCAGCTAAGTCAGCTTGTCTGCTTGGCGTTGAATTGAACAGGGACTTCCTTTCTTTTACGCGTCAAGGAAACTTACATGACGATGGTGACCCTGTCAAAGCGCAGAGAAGGCTGGGTATTCCATATCGCTGGACCAATCGCAAGAGCTGCTGTTGGTCTTCATCTGTCAATGGTCGTACGTTGGCGTCATCATGTGTTTGGTGTGTTTGGCTCTGGTACGGAAACATGGCTGAGTGTCGTGGCAGTTGGATGTGCCGAAGCCAAAATCACTCAAATGAAACGTCGTGTTAAGCGCCAATGCCAAAAGTAATTGTGATGTATCGACAACGGAAGGTTCATTCGGTTTATGTCGTCGCCGGTGATGTTCCCCAAAGTGTTCAAGTCCAAAGCTCCCTCCAGAACGAAGCCTTGGCTTGACCGCCGCCTCTCACCCCCGCGCGCAGAGGCGCTGTGACTGAAGAGAGGCTGGGAGAGAGAGAGATGTTGAGGGCGAATGATTTTGAAGTCCAGTCTCGAGCACGCGATGGAGCAGAGACGGACGTAAAGCAGGCAGGCAGGCCAAAGAGAGACGTGTATAAAAGCAAGTTCCAAACGGGCGCAGGGTTGAGTTTGTGATCTTGTTCGACTCTAAGGCGGGATGTGCTGGATGTGCCACAAACACTTCCAAATTATATCCAACAGTTGATATCTTATACTGTCGCGATGTTATTTGGGATGGTAAAACCAGGTCTCAACATGGATGCAAATAGCAAAGAGAAAGGGTGGGCAGGAGTGGCATGAGAAAGCAGAGAAGCTGGGGCAGCGAGCTTCTAGAAGATCTCGGAGAAGGTCCAAGTTTCCGTAGGCAATATGAAATAGTACACTTCAGGCCTGTCATCGGTTGACACCAGACAGGTTCCAACAAGCCAACCGGAGCCCCATTCTTGTTCTTTACCCTCCACCCAGCAAGAGGATTACCCCCCCCTTGGCAGCAGGCATAGACCCTGGATCCTCGGTCCTGGGTCTTTTTTTGTTTCTTAGAGTTGCGTGTGTTGACGAAGAGGTTGACCCAGGGGTCATCAAGCCATTGGTGCCATGGGACCCTTGTCGCAGACCACTCGCAGACCAGTGGCAGACCAACAGGGGCGGCCGTTTCAGGAACGGCCTCATTTCTCACCGCAGTCTCAACGCATTCTGAAACGCCTTGGTTGCAGACAACCCCACGTCGCGACACCCGCTACGCTCAATCAGTGCGTAGAAGCTGATTGCAAAAGCCGCCCCCATTTGGGAATGTCGAGGGAGCCCGACTAGAAGCATGGACCAGCGACCGGTATTGCACGCCAAATTGGTCCTGGCTTTTCTCCGTCTGGAGTCGCCGACAGCCAACCACGAGGTGTCTCGGGTCGTCGTATGGTCACGTTGGACTGGCAAAGTAAGATTAGCTGTGAGCCACCCTTGTCGATCCCTCCCTGCAGTGAACCCAGCGTGGTGCATGGCGTTCTTTAGCAAAGCCCTTTGGGTAAAAGATTGGAGAAAAGAATGCCCAGCCCTGGCAGGGCTGGCCGCTTGGTGCTTCTGCCGTTTTTCTAGAAGGCGAGGAATGGAGGGATGGCGGGATGGCGGGAGCCACGGGCTGTCAGACCCCATCGCAATGACGAGAGCAGAAGTGGCGGTTGGTCATCAAGCACGGCACGGCTGGAATGGTTGATTGCATCGTGTCTTCAAGTGATAATTGCCATTATGCGGGCCTTTATCTTGCGGGATCCTGAGAGTTTTTGGTGGTGGTATATTATGGTAGTCGTTTCGTCGTCTCCAGCCCCCAACTCGCAGAAGAGGGGAGATTGAGACAAAAACATGTGAGGGAGCGGGCTATTGGGCAGACGGATTTGGGCAGGTGCGAAACACTGGAGGCAGGAGGCTACGTTGGTACCTACCTAGGTACCTAGGTACCCAGGTCCTGCTTTGCCCAGGCAGATGTGCACGCAGGTACGCGGGAGCGAGCAAGCATCAGGCAGCCGGGCATGAACCTCGTCGAGACAGCCTGCAGGAATCGATTGGGGTTCAAACGATGCCAGGACGATAATAATAGTTAACTAACATCTATCTCATTTATGGCAGGCACTTCGTATTACTACTGGGTATCCGATACTCCGTAGTAGGATCCGAATCGTCCAAATCGTTCAAATCGTCAACCAGGGTCTTGAATCCCATGTTCTGTACCGAATGAAAACTTCCGACACTTCACTCCTAGAGATGCGCATAGACCAGTCATCCCGGGTTGCACGCTCTACCAGAGTGACTAACAACGGGAATGGGGACGCACACCGTTGCATCGTCTCTTTCGTCAACGTCGCAGTCGATGGCAGTGTCGGGGTCGGGTTAAATTACCGGAGGTAGGTAGTTCAGACAACTTGATTCCTTGCAAACTTTACTGCACAAACACTCTCATGCCAAGATTGCATTCTCACAATCTTTCCCCAACGGGCCGAAAACGTCTCGAGTTTACCCTGAAAGAGTGCACACACATTGAGGATATGTCAATTTACATTCTGGCTGTGCTGTGGCCTCGCACCGCATTGAAGAGTCCGGGGTGTAAATCAAACCAGGTCAGAAAGTAACCAACCGTCTTGAATACAGAGTCTGGTAGATAACGTAGATGCTGACCCACAATTCGGGCACCCTCATCTTGTCATTTGAAAGACGATCGGGAACAAAGTATGCGCTGGGACACTAAAACTTCAATGTTATTATCTTGCAATTATCTAATGCTCTCCAGGTGCTCTCCAGAGAGCGAGTCATCATATTAAGTCGGTAATGCGAGTCACTGTGTGTGATGGTGAAATGATGGCGAGACAAATGCGGGCTTGCATGGTTCAGAAACACAACTACCGTTCAATCCGGACGTAGTCCGTACAATACGATGGAGTCATGAACTGCCAGGGAAGTCCAGTCGACAGATGCTCCGTTCTCCGTACTCAGCAAAACACTCGGTACGGAACATGGCCAAGCGAGGGGTTCTATCAATGTCTGGTCCCCATTTACAATGGAACCTGAGTTCTTATCTGCCACACCACCGCCATGGGGCTGGTGGGTTTGAGTGAGCATGCGAGGACAGGAATCAATAACTGGCAACAGAAAGAAAAACTCAGTCTCTCGTACTCCGTTCATGTACGCTGCTGACCCTTGGCTGCCGATGAACCCATTTTCGCTCCCACAGCCTCACTCCATATTACCATGGCATTATAGTATGCGAAACGAAAGATGAGGACAAATGCACCGCGGCATAATTGTACTACTATAAACAGCGGTTTCCGCCAATGGCCAAGCCAGGCCATGTGGCTGCGTCCCCATATGTCATGCACACTCAGCCCCAGGTGCCGTCTTGCCGTCAAGTCCCGCGTGAGGGCACCTTTCCGGCAGAAGCAGCGCATTCACGAATTTGGAGTCGCTACTCCGTACGAAAGCACAATATCTGAATGCCCACTGCTGTCATGAATTGAGTTTCCGGAGACTATGCTCCATGGGCTCGGCTCCATGGGCTCCGTACTGTTCTTCTAGAAAATGGCTGCCCTAGTCTGGCATCGGCAACGCCGTTTTATCCGTTACGGCCCTGGCTCACGACACGCAGGGGTGAGGCGTGATGGCGAGTGGCAGGTTGCCGGGGCAGAGAGCACTTTTCTCTCCCCTTTACGGAGTACACATGACGGACGCCGTTGCAATATCCCAGTCCGACAAGAGCTACTTGTCAGCCAAATCTATGCAGTCTGCTGCCTCCAGCACGTAGTCGCCAACTGGAAGCCAAGCCAGCTGAGGCACCGTCCACAGTGCCTACGGGATCAAAAATGGCTGCTGACAGATGACGGGGCTGGTCTGTAATCAGCTCGACTATTCAAACATCTTGTTGTTGAAGGAAGGGGCATGTCAGTCAATATGCAACACTCTCCGACTCAGTGATCACCGCGGCTGTAATCGAGATTCATGAGTGATATACTAAGCCAGACGAGATTTGTCATCCCCAACGACGAACAACTTGTATTCTAATTATAAATGTATTCCGTGATATTGGTATATCGTCCCCGTCAGTGGAGCCGAGCGCCTTGGGTGACGAGGTGATGAGATGGTTCCAAGATTATGGCAACTCGGGTCGGTTCCTCGAGACTTGTCCGATTTAGACTGGACGCATCGTTCCAGAGTGTCAAGACGATAGTGTGTGGTCCTTGTCGTACCTGCATTGTTTCGCCCCATGCAGTCCCCGACATGCGGCAGCGCGCCAAACCGGAGCACGATACCCCATTGAGAACGGACTCTGATGCACGTTATCAAGCCGTTCAAGCCGTTCAATAAACCCAAGTATCGCCACGTGGCTCCGTCTTACATTTTTCTGGAAGCTTTCCCCAACCGTCTGAGAAGGCCCGCGCTGTTCATTTCCTAAGCCACGCAATATGCCAGTGAAACATTGCATGTGACGCCGTCGTTTTCTCTGCAGATGACTCGGGGAACGAAACTTGACAAGCCGACTCGTAAACGCCAACCCGCTGCGCTCTGCAGCCGTTGGATGGTGTGGGAGCGCATCAGACCTATCCCGTCTCCAAATGTTCCGGTTCTGAGGGTGGGCTGACGACCAATGAGGTTGGCTAATTGCCTTTGTTTTTTTGCTATTGGTATCATTCAAGACTGGGCGTGATGGCACAATCACCGTGCGTCGCCATCATGATGAAGTTGCTCTTTGATGGAATTATTTGTGCGCTGCTGCCATGCACATTGATTGACTGCACCCTGAGATGCATCGCCGCACAACGACCCGGAGCTGGTCTAGGGTGGCTACTAGGTAATTAGGGCGCGGACAAAAAGCAGCCATCAATGGCTTATAGGAGGCCCCCGTCCCAGGGGAAAACGCTCCTCAAACCAAGTCGTACTCCGTCATGATTCGGGTGAGTCAAGCTTGTGAAAATTCGCACCATGGTGCATGTCGACTTTCCTTGTCGCAGTCAGGCAATTGCTTGCAATGCGACCAACGAGGGGTTGGCGCCAACTATCCACGCCCATTTCCAAGGCAGTTTTGTATTTGCATGTAGCATCCCGCTTAACAATTGGCATTGGTTCGGATCCTTATACAACCAACCTTGGAGTAGCGCTACATCAAGATAAACAGTTGCTGGTCCACCATTGATACGCAGCACCTAGCTCATTTCAGCTGCCCTCGAAAGAAGCATGTTGATGAGAAGTAACTTTTTCCTACTCAATCGAAACAAAAGCTGCAATTGTAATCCAGCAAGGCGGAAGACAAAAATATACATGGACCTTGTGAAACAGTCACACACCTTTGATTCAAACATCATTGCTGCTTTGCATCGACGACCAACCACTCACCAATCAGCCATATAAACCCATCAAATAAGAGAGCATTGAACGAGACGCCGTTAAGAAGGCGTGGACGCGGCCTTGTTTGAGCAAAAATATGGCCATGGGGCATTTGAATTGGTTTCTGTTCCGCATCTAGCACAGAAAGGGGCCTTGGACTCTGCCCTTCAAGCTACGCTGCCTACTTTTTCCCCAGCAACACCCCCTTGGAAGCAAACCCGACTACCACCAGTGGACCGTTAACAAAGGCCAACGATGCTCTAGGCATCTCGGGTCTTGTCCATGCGGCCTCTGACATGACATTTGACTGTGACCCGAACAAGGTGACTCCGCCGATGATAATGGCCACCATGAACCTAGCCAGGGCTGCCGCCAAGCATGCCGATATCAAGAGATTTGCCCTCACATCCTCCTGTGCAGCCGCGGCAAGCCCGATGCACGGAGTCTGGCGCTGAAATCGGAAAGGATGCGTGGAACGACGAAGCAGTTGCTCGAGCTTGGGGGCCCCCCGCCGTACAACCCTGAGCGAGGATTCTCTGTCTACGCGGCCAGCAAGACGCAGTGCGAGAGGGAGCCCTGGCGGTGGTACAGGGAGGAACTGCCCAGGTTCACTTTCAACACGGGTAAGTCGAGAATGCCCGTTGCCCTTTTCGTTTTCATTCATTAGACGGCATCATCGTGGGCTGACCAAAAGACGGGTTAGCTCTGCCGGGCATGAACACGGGTCCAAATCTTGACCCGGCGAATCAAGGCCACTCGTCTACATCGGGGCTTATCGAGGCAATTTACAAGGGAAACATGGAGGTTACTCGTAGCGCTGCACCAGTGTAAGTCGCCTGGTTTGAAAGAAAGGGGGGAGGGGGGAGGTCTGGCCGTAGCAACCAGTGACAACCAAGACTCTTGATTACAGATTTGCACGTCGACGTGCAGGACAATGCTCGTCTGCACGTGGCGGCTCTCCTTCACCCTCGGATACAAAACGAGCGGCGCCGTATACTTGGAGGGGCATTCAGACGACACTTGCGAGGTTGTACCCCAACAGGATATTCGCTCAGGATATGCAGGCGTCGAAATTGGACCGGAGTGATATTGAGTTGGCCGCAAAAGCAGAAGACTGGCTAAAGGAAATGGGCCGCACTGGATAGACCAGCCTAGAGGACAGTTTAATGGCGAATGCTCGTGATTTGGCCTAACTTGCATGTGATGACCAACAGTGGCTGTTGGAGCCAAAAAAAAGGGGTGAGATGGTGCAATGTTTCATGGGCTCACCAAAGCATTCTTCTTTTTCTTTCACCTCAACCCCCTATTCAGTCATCTCTTACCAGCAGTGCAGGGTGTGCGGCATGGCTGGCGCATCACAGAGCCTAGATGACAACGTTGGCCAAAGCACTCGGCATATGCAGTAATATATAGTACAGTAATATATATTATAAAGCCAACAAGAACCACTGGGTGCAAATTGAGGGCAAAATACACCTCTTTGCAGTTCTGCTCGGCCATTTGATAGGAACCCAAAGCGCCGGAGCCAGGTATCGGACCTGACGCAAGTCCTCGCAGGAGCCAATGTTTTCAGTCGTCGGTTGAGCCGGAGCAGTTCGTTTTTTGATACCTTTACTGCAGGTCTAGATTTTCGCTGCCGTTGTATGATGTGAGATTTGCCACTTAATAATGCTGACAGCTAGAGTCAGAACTAGTTGCTCTGGGCAGGCTGGCTGTTGCAAACTCGCTTCGTATCTCGCCGTAGTACACGAATACATGGGAACGACGCATACCCTTCCTCACCCGCATTTGGTGGGAGAAAGAAAAAAAAAGAGAAACACACACACGCACAGAGAGAGCGAGTATGTGTATGTGTGTGTGTGTCTGAGGCGGTAATCCGAAACCTGGCTGCAGCAGGATTCTTCACTGATCACCTGGATTGGACCCCGGCCTGCCCCGTGTGGTGTGTAATTTTCGAGTCTGTTACGATGGAAGTTCCAGAGTACAACCATAGTTCACACATTTTGTCCTACATCCCCCCCGCCCCCTATGATGGGAACACAGCAGGCGGGATACACCTTGTCTTTGATGTAATGGTGGCTTGCATTGCAGTGGGTTTCTCAGCTGGTTTCAAGATGGCCCCGGTCTATCAAGAGCGATTTGATCGTGTCTACAAGCGACCTCGAAGCGTATTTATTGATGAGGCTTTCCACCGAGAGCTCAGCTGCACATGAGGGAACTTACTGCTTTGCAAGGATCAGTGGCTTGATACCCGCAGCGGCCAGCAGCTGAAAACACGTGGGATGTGTTCATAACCGTACGGCGGCGATTCATCATACAGACAAACGTACAATCTTGTCAAGTGCGACTCCCCTCGTGAGGAACCCGTATCAGAGAGTATTCAGCGTATTCTCGGTAAGACTTTCTTCGTTTCTTTCTGGTTGGCTGACCAGGATGGTGTCTGGAGTAGCTGTTGATCCCGAAGAGGTTGCCAGGGATTGGCGCGAGGAAAATTGTCGAAAAAAAGACTGTCACTTTCTCTGTGGAAAATTCCGTTTCCTGGCTTATATTTCTTCTTCTTCTCCTCCTCCTCCTCCCTCTTCTTTCAACTATTTGGTGCCTGTTAATATATCGCCCTCGACCTGGACGCTGGCGGCGATTGATGAAAAAAGCAGGGTCAAGTTTATAAAATAATGGCCCTGGCAGAACCTACAAATAAGGCATTGACAACCAACAGCAGACACATCTCAAGTGACGCTTGGAAGAAACATGATTGATGTAATAGAGCAGCCACAGGCAGTGTCGAGAGCGACCAGAAACAGCAATTCCCGGCATCCGCCTCACACCGAGGCAGTTCACCAAGGGTGCAAATGTGAATATCCTCTGACAATCAGGCGAGTGACGCCACCGCATGGCTTGCAGAGAGTGGCAATATAAAAAGCAGCAAAAATGGCCGGCTGTGTGCATGTGAAGAGCAGGCAGGTGACTCGACGAGAGGCTCCAAGTTCCGGCAACAGCTGGGATGCGTGAAGCGTGATTGCTAGAAGAATCTCTAGAACAGTTCAACTGGTTGCAATAGGCTGGTTGAATTCCTCATCGAATGTCTGGTACTGATGGCGCTGGGTGGAACTTTGAAATGAGGGTGGCCGGCTCCAGCAGGCGCAACCGCCATTTGCCCCCGCTGTGGAATCCCACCAGTTGACGCCTCTTTATAATCAGCCTTGAGGCCTTGTGTTTGTTGGAATAAACGAGGCTAGCATCGGACATGCAAACTCTATAGTCGGTTGACAGGTGGGTATATACAGATGTAGTTTTTGGCGTGTTACCAAGAGTGGCAACAGTGGGTGTTTGGTGTTTGAGCTTGCGTTGCATTCTATTTTATTATTGTCATCTTGTTCCATGTCTCTCGATCAAGGAACATTTGCCATCACCACGTTTCGCGTCCCTGCAATCATCGTGGATGGTATTACACGAGGCGGCTGACCTGCGCAGACACATTTCCGTCTCGAAGCAGCATGGCACAAGGTCCCAAACCATCTATTGCTGCGTCGACTCAAGAAACAAAGAATACAGCCCATCAGTTTGCACAGACGTGCTCCTGTCCGGATCAGGTATAATCTGCCGACTGGAGGTTCCAAGTAGCGGTACTCCGTACGCGGGCCGACATTCCCACGACTGAACGTAGTAAGCGGCTGCCCCGCCAAAAACATCTCGGCGTCAAGTCGCACTGGGCCATGTATTCAGATGGATGGCTGGGGGTGGGCACGATAAATGTTCCGACGGGATTTCGCAGCGCCACAATCAGCTCGGTTTCCAAACAAATCGCTCTGGTGGCACCAGACGGCGTCAAAAAAGGTGCGATGACGAAAGGAGCATGTCATCAAAACAACATGCCGCCTCGAGACCCTGCTGGAAAAAAGAAAGAGAAGAGAAAAAAAAAAATTGAAACCACCGTCCCTCCAACCGACTCATTGGTGCAAGTTTCACGGCCGAAACGCCCTGCACTTCACCATCTGCGGCTGGCACGAGTCGGCGAGAGGGCTGAACCGGCTCGAGGTCAGATGCTGACCACGTCCTGCCAGGTCGCCAGCTTTCCGCGAATGCGGAGTACACGACGACGCTCCAGCCGCGTTTCGACAGAGCCTGGCAAAGCGTTTAGCCGACGGCAAGCCGTCGCATGGGCCTCAGCATGGAAATGCCGGAAAATGCCACTCCAGCCTGATTTTGCTGTCCGTCATGAAAGCGCAAGTGATGTGCAAAAACATTTACCCTTTTTTTTTTTTTCAGCCTCGAGGTCCCCGGACTCCACCGCGGAGGCCGGCATGGCCCCACATGGCCTTCTGGCCCTTGACGTATCATCCTTATCTTGCAGGGCGCAACCATACCCGGACCGATAGAAGGCTTCTCTTGGGCTGCTCTTCTTGGTGCCAGACAGACAGACAGCCCCAGTCGCAATGGTCACTCGAAAAGGGCAGGCATGTTGTGGCCTTGCAACTTCCCTCCCCTGGTCGGTCCGCCGACCAACCACCCACCCACCCTCCGAGTTCAAATGTCAACTAGTCATGTCTGGTGGCTCAAAGGCGCTATTTAGTTTCCCCCATGATAGCCGCTGTCAATCTCCGGAAAGTTCAATGTTGCCTGCCAAGGTAATCTAGTTCCCATCAAATCTGTCAGCGCGGCGAAAGGGCCGGGGGAGAGGCAAAAGAGGCCAACGCCACCAGAGTACATGATTCCAGTTTGTTCCACTTTGACGACATTGATGACTCGCTTTTGCTGCATGTCAACTTGTCGACGCAGTCGTCTTGTACCGAGTAATGGTTGGCAACTGGGGCCAGTAGATAGGCGGCTCCCAGCGGAAATAGCCGCTTCTCTGCATCGATCCTGTCTGTCGCCTCCGGCTAAAAGAGTCTGGTGGCATCCTGGCAGAAAGGACACATGTGGAGGAAGCTTCATCGCGCGGCTGGCATTGGGAACACCATGTCAAGCCTTCAAAAAGCGCTGGTGGACTCTATTTTACTTACTAATCTTTGGTATTCCCCTTGGTTCCCCTTCTACATCCAAGTTCGCCTCCCATCCATCCCGCTTCTCCCGTCATCATATCCTCCTCCCATGATAGGGTATCAAGTCCGACGCCACTCTAATTTCAATGTTCAAATACTCCGCAAGCAGTACTAGGCACTGATCACCATGACGCCTCCAATATTCAGGCGCCGCATCACATCCGTTGCTCCATCTTTCCCAATAGGCCGTTACATCAATGGGTGTCATGGATCAAACGGGCACCCCCCTGGAATTGCTCGATGGCGTCCAATACCACCCCAGACAGCGTACATACGCTCCCGAGATCCCGTACCTGGGATTGCAACCCCGGCCCATCCAAGGCATCTCAAGTGCTCCCGGATGGATGGAGGAGACGTGTCGGTCCAAGATGGCCCGACTTACATGGCCATTGGGCCGAAGCAAACCAACGGCAGTCGAGCCTTTCCCTTTCTGCCTCCAATCTTGACCCTTTACTTCTTCACAGTGATCCCGCCGGCGAACCATACCGGCCAGCCATACGGCTGTGCTCTGGGGTTACCGGGTTGCTCATGTCATACCCATCTGCCGGTAGCGAATTGTGAATGCCCATGTGTTCATAGCTGCCCATCCAGTTGCTACGCCTGGTGTTGTTGCTGATATGCGAGCTGCTCTCATTGTTGATATCCATGTCCATGGCGCCGGGAATGCTCGACACCTGGTGTATTCCGTGGAAGCCCGCCGCTGCCGGGTTCGCAACCGGCTCGGCTTCTTGTCCCACAGCAATGTACTGCCCCGTAATGGCTGTGGATATCATCTGTGAGGATTGAGGGTACAATGCCGAATCTGTACCACCATGATAGAACAGCTGCGGTGGAGTCAACGGGTGCAAGGAGGCTGCGGCGTCATTGAACTGAACTTGGCCATGGCTGCGGCCCTGGCCCAAGGCGCGATCGGCGTCAAATACTAGCTCAATCGAGCGAGGCACATGGTGGCCCGGCTGGATGTCGGCGTACAGTCCATGTTCGACCCCGACGCCCCCAGAGACTTTGAACTGGCCCATATCCCGTTCCACGGCAAGCTGGGGGCTTTGCGCGTGGGCGTCAAACGACAGCCGGTGCTGCTGGTACTGCGCCTTGGGGCATCTCCTCCGTACCGGGGGCTCGAGCTTGCCTTCCAAGTTGCTCAGATCCCCCGGGTTGGATCCCAGCATGATGATGAGGCGGACCAGGAAGGGCAGGTTTTCGACGTGGCCGGCCTCGAGGGTTTTCCGAGCAGCCATACTTGACTGGGGCTCCCATTGAAGCTGAGGCCTCTCCATGTCCGGCCACGCCTTGTCCCAAAAGGCAGAAACTTGACGCTGTCGCAAGAGATTGCGGATTCTGGTCGAGTAGGACCAGCGGCCGCCGTTGGACCCTTCCTCAAAGTGCTTGACAATGTGGCCCGAGTACTCCTTCAGGGTCGCCGCAGTGTCGTCTTCGTGGGGGGCTTCAAATACTTGGGGGCAGTTCTCGAACCCGCAAGCAAATACTGTTTGGGGGCACAGCTTCACCTTGGCCTCGTCGACGTTCATGTGTGATCGCCCGTGTGCAGTTCGGAGGTGGTTCTGGTAAGCTGTTTGCCAGTCGTAGGCCACTCGACATCCGGGGTGCTGGCAAAACCACACAGCATTGCTGTTGTGGAAGTTCTCAATGTGCCGCCTGAGGTCGTTTCGACGTGTGCACGTCTTTCGTATGTTTTCCTCGGCGCAGAACCCGCAAGCATAGTCAAGCCTGTGTGTCATGGATACAACTGCGGTCCCACGGTCGGTGGTGGATTGTCGTCGTGACCTCTGTGACGATGCATTGCTTGAGAGCGAGTGGCTGGGCTTTGTGCCTTGGCCATGGCTTTGATGTATGGGCTGGCTCGGCATGCTGTCTCTGTCCGAGCCAAGAAGAGGCACGGGAAACACTCCCTCTGACAGCTGGCCTTGTGCTATACAGTAAACAAAGTGTCAGGTTCCCGAGCTTCCAGATTCCAGGCTCCCCGTGCTTTGTGGAAAGGAAGTTTAACAAAGTAAGAAGGCGTGCAGACGTACCAGATGGGCTTACACATGACTCCTCCTCCACTAGTCGGTTTATGTCTTCCTTGGTGTACTTTTCCAGCAACTGACGGATTATGGCTCGAGGATCGTAACCTTGGATAGATGGCGACGTGGATAAGGGACTTCCTGTATCCGACTCCGGGGTCATCATGGAAGGCGGGCTCGAGGCCGGGGACATAATCATGGCCGTCCAGATCCAGATCCAGGTGCGAGCTTCGTTGGAGTGTATAGAGAAATAATAAGACAGGTCTTAGCTAATGGGACCGGGGGCAGCCCGGTTACTACAGGACCACAGGACCTGTATGGGGGGACCTGGTCAAGACTGGAGCGGCCTTGTAAGATGATGGAGCTGTCTGTACAGCACCATGAACAGAAACGGTGGTAGTATCATATATTATCGTGATGTGAAGGACAAACGGAGAAAGAAAACGAGGTGAGATTTAGGTACTGTGGTGATGGAGATTTGCTCTTCTGCTTTTGTAGAGACGGTGGTTTATAGTCGTCAAAAGACTCGGTCTAGAGCAGGTCTTGTGTGTATAGACTTATGTATACGAGTCTTGGGTTATACTTGTTGTTGACAAACAGACGAGAGGGAATTGACCAAATTTGCAGAATAGATGGAAGGGGGCGGGAAGACCAGAGTCTTTATGGTTTGTCGCGTGGCTTAAGATCGGGACGAGCTACTTCTGATGCGGAAGAGAGGCGTCAGCTCTTGGAGGGACGGCCAATGGCCCGGGAAAGTGAGAAAGGCGAGGGTCTCGGCAGGCATTGAAATAGAGTGATAACTTAAAATGCCAGAGCGGCGCTGAGCCATGTGCTCGGAAAGAATCTATGGCACTCGGCGGGAGAAGGGCAACAGATGTCCAGAGGTCCAGATGTCCAGATGTCCACTGGTAGGAACAAACCAACTACTACCACGGATGCTCATGGAGTCATGGGCCTGTGCCGTGCGGCGGTGCGGGCTGCTGAAGCATCGAGGTTTTACTGCAAGTGGAGAAGGGGGGAGTGCGTCTTGCATCTTGCGTCTTGCGTCTCCTTTCCTGGCCATCAGGACCTGATAAGCAGTGGTGGTCATATTCTACAAGACGACCCGGTACGGGGACACAGCGTATGGACATGTTGGGTTCGGTGCGAGGTGATGGAACCAAGTGAGCAACCGTCAAAATCAGGTGGTCTGGCACGGGGACGAACCTGGAAAAGTACCGAAGACTCGAACTAGGTTAGCTTCCAGCCCGGTTTACCATGGGGGAGTGGCAAGTTCCTACCATACCGGGCAAGAATGGGGCAAATACCATGGACGGCTAGCTCTCGGCTAATTCTCCGTACTTTGTTTTGTACGGGTACATGGTTGGTGTTGGTGTGCTTGTCGACTTATAAGCAACCGAGTACGGACATGGAGTACGTAGTGACTCGGTGCTCCGTCACGATACTACGCGACACTTGCCGTACCGAGTACCTCAGCCAACAAGCGGCTTTTGTGGCGTCAGGCGTCGCTGTCTCTTTCTCCATTGCCTCTTATCAGGAGAAGGGTTTGAGACAAAAGCAACGGTGAACAAGAAGATTGGGGCGGGTTCCACCTTGACAGGCTCTCTGGTGCTCTTACACCACTTACTGCGTGAGGTTTGGTGATGATGCCTGCAACCAACTCCCAAGTCGCTGGGATTCGGTGGTATTGGGCAGATGGCCAACCAAGCGGGAGAAGCAACCAGTCCACGTCCCAAGCTCCCGAAGACAAAAATTGATGTGGCGATAGCTGCAGGCTGAAAAGCCAGGGACTCGGAGAAGGATGTGGGACTGATCAAGGGTCGAGGTCGACGACCCTGCAGAGTCTTTGTAGAGGGGGGGCGTGTGAGTTGACGATGGCACGACGAAGAAGCATCACGCAACTCACGGTTCAGCAATACCAGCGCTTATCTGACCAGAGAACAGCTTGGCGGCCAAGAAGTCGCCCTATGGTGTAGGGGCGGCAGATGAGGAAAAGCTGAAGTCGACTTGTTGAATATGCGATTTATTTTATTTTTATTTCTTTCTTCTCTCCCCCCCTCTCTCGTCACTACTGGACCTTGGACCCGAGGGAGGCCATCCGGCAACATTGTGACATTGACAGACGCGCGCGCGCTTGTGAGCTCACACAGGCTTTGATATTAAGCTTTCCACCCCATGGTCTTTACCCCGTAGTTATGTGGCTGTCCCAAAGCGTCCTGTTGTTGCGTGGGGAGACTCATGCTTCCTGCAGACTTGCGCAACACAAGTACCGAGAAATGTTGCACCTCCCGGCTTCGTTCCTCACACACGGGACTAAATACAACAACAGACACTGGCATGCCGACCATATCGAGGAGATTACCAACGAGATGTGATGGGTGCTTGGGGGCCGCACGAGGCAAAAGACGGCCGCGTCGAGGTCTGCTCCGGCGCAGACAGGAGCCAAAGCCGTTGAGGGTATTCAACCACGACTACCAAGGGATCGGGGGCTGACAAACAGCTAGCACCTGTTTAAACCCCTGTTTAAGCCCCAAGGGCCACGGGCAGCCATCTGCTCGGGACGGGAGGGAGCAACAAGGGTGGTTGATTTGAAGGGGTTAAAAAAAGGAAGAGGCCATGGGGCATGCTTGTCTGACAAGGCCATTTGCTCACATTTTTTTCTCATATGGTCTCCCTCTGTTCGTAATTACTCCATTGTTACGGAGTACTCCGTCACTCTCCCTTTTTTTTTTTTTGAGACCAAATTTATTTTTAATTCTGTCAGTAGTTGAGTTTGAGACAAAGCTCTTCCGGCATCTCCTGCGAGCCGACAGACCATTGGGCTCGCAGCATCGCCTCGTGTCTCATTCTTGCGTGTCTGCGCCCCCCTGGGCTCTTGATACCGCTGTGCCGGACACCGGCATTTCCGGAATGACAAAGCATGGGATGCAAGCAGAGGGAAAAAAGGCATCCAAGGCGTATTCCATCCATCCATCTTGCATGTAGCATCCCGTTCCGAGAAGTGTTATACCACTCCGACAGCTCCCGCCTGTTCCTGCGGCAATGGCTACAGCCAAAACTATGTACAATTTCAAGACGGGGATTGGCACGAGAGACTGTCCACTCTTTTCTTTCAAGGTCCTGCGGATGGGCGTTCCGGTACTACTTGATCCAAGCCATCTATGAGACAGCAGCTTGCTTCGAGATCCTTCCCGAGACCCAGCCATGAGGCCAGACCAGCAAAAACAACAAAACATGGGCCAGCTTAGGTCCGGATCAACATTCAGCCCCAGAGTGAACATACAAGTGTGAGGGGCAAAGACAGTCAATCAATGTCCCAGGAGCAAGACATGACGAAACGGAGGCCACGAGGTGACATACCGTAGGAGAATATTTTAGCCTAGCATGCTGCGCTCCGGGGGTAAATCGCTAAACCGCCTTTTGACAGACCAGTTGACGGTTTGAACCGTTTCCCCAAGCGTTGGACCGCGCTGCTGCCGCGTCACCACTTACTTCCCAGGGAAGATCTGCCGCTTCAGCCGTCCTGCCGCTGCCACCCCAGCTCGAGCTTTCTACGTGCGAAGACCTGGGGCTACGCGGGGGACGCTATTTTCCACGATGACGGGCCACAGCCTTACCGAAAACGAAATAAATCGGGCCGTGGCCGTTGTCAGCCAGCCAATCTTGTGCCCCCGGCATGCCTGTTGAGACGCCTGATCGGATGTCCTCCAACATGCCAAGCCTGTCACAACGCCAGGAAGCAGAGTCTCGTGAATACTCGCTTGGTCTCTGGTCGCTATGCGCCGGCTGCGTATGGCCTCGCTTGTGTGTGTTGGGGGGGTGTAAGAGAGAGCGGAGAGGTAAAGGATTGGAAAGAGAGGGACGGAGAGCAAAAGCGAGCGCAGCTTCTAGACTTGGTCCATTGGAAAGAGTCGGGCTTTGTTTCTATTCTCGGCATGTTTGCCGCTGACGATTAATTATACCGATGAAGGTACATGTACTCCCAGACACAGAGACTGGGGCCATTGATGATCAAGCTAGCTCCAAAGAATTCCAATCTCTCTGCATATCATACACCATAAGACTTACACTAGCAAAGAGCGAGTGGAGGGGAAGGCCTTGGCGGAGTTGAAAGAGAGAAATTAGGTCCACGACAATGACCAGTGTCTATCTCGGTGTTCGTTTCACGTATTGGACCTCCTCGTCTTCTTCTTTCCCCCTCTTTTCATCAGTATATACACATGCAAGGGAGTCAGATGCGAATTCTAGTCTCAAAAAAGAGCCAATCCCACCAGAAATAGACGTCGTAGGGCTAGTTTCATCCACCAAAACCGACGATGGAGCCAGAGGGACCGGACTAACAGCGCTTGACTGGACCAGAGGCGACAAGCGCCACTGATCAAATGAATGGAGGTGATCAAGCCACACGAATAAACTACCCAAGGTACCCAGGCGCCACGCAAGGCCGGGGCTGGGGAAGGCGGCGACGTCTTATTTGGGGGCGGGCTAGGTTTGGCTGCCCGGGAATGAGGCAAACGGATCACCACATTGTACCCCGTACGGAGGACGAGCAGCCATCCTTTGTTGTGTGCCCTTCCGCTGGAACAAGTTGTCTCGGAATGTGCCGCTGCTGTGAGATGAGGGTCTCGTGCCAACGGAGCCAAGGCTTGCTTTTGTGCAGGTCGAAGAATCATGGCTGTCTATTAAACACATGGCCACCCTGGGATAGTTACATGGCAGGGAACAACTCGGCAAACCACTGGCTGACGAGGTTGTTGTCATCTCGACGACTAATGCAGTGTCAACTATCCACCTTGTCGGAAAAGATTCGTTATTGTGTTTCTAAAGAGATCGATGTTGGCCCGAGCACCCCGTGTTTGTCGTGGCTCAGCCCTGACCCGTCAGCTTGGCAATAAGACAAGCTTTTTTTGGGCGAGACAAACATGCCACGCAGAACAGAGCGGCATGGTCTGCGTTGGCACTCAGACAAGCTGCGCAGTTCCCTCCCGGTGGCAAGGTCCCGGCGCCCACAAAAAAAGCTGCCCGCCCTGCTTTGCCGTGCCTGCGCAGAATAAAAGCTTGCTTCTCGGTACTCTGTGCTGTATGTACACACACGCAGGCACCGAAACCATATGCACCGGACCCTTTGCGGCTGACGGTCCGTTGTCGGGAAGTGGGCATACATCAGGGGATCACCATCCGTCTCATTGGGAAGTTCAAGCCGCCACCTCAGCCGTGCCGATGACCTGCGGGACCTTACCAGTCCGCAGCAGGCCTACCGGGGGTTAACAAGATGGGGTCACCGAAAGAAGAGATAAGGGGTGTTACAGGTCGCGGGAAAATCCATAGTCTAGTTCGTTTTTGCACAGACAATGCAAAATCCGGGGCACTTGAACATGCTCTAGGCGTGTAGCAGACACGCACCAGACTTCACCATTTGATACATACACAACCTACATACAATTACTCTCCCAAGTCTCTCTGTCTTCCTGACACGCGCCTTAGGCATGGCACGCCGTCGGTAGCAGTCGTAGATAGTCCGTTGAGTCCTAGCGTGGATGACCGTCAAGCAGTCATGAGAGAAAAGTCACGATGCAATCTAAAATCACACAGGACCAAAACAAAGTGGCCAAAATTTGCCCCCATACTGTGAGACAAGGCGAGGGGGAAGCGAGTGAAGAAGCAAAATACCTGACCTTGAAACTGGTGGCACCCTGCCCAGCCAAGCCAAGCCTAGCCAAGCCATCGACTGGCCCCCAATATGTTTCCCCAGGCTCCGTATTCTTTTCATCTTCTCTCTCGTCTGCCTCTGCCACTGACTGGCTGCTTTTGTTCTTGTCTTGCCGCCCCCACGAACCTCCGGGCAATCATTGGCGTCATTTAACCCGCAATCATCCTCATCGTCTAACCTGTTACAAATCCAAAGAAGCTACATGGAGAAGGGGGATGCGCCGGCTACCACGTAGGGAACTTGTCCTCCGTACGTAGTACATACATAGGGCGCAGATCAGCGTCCGTAAACTGCCGAGGCCACCATCTACGCTCACGTATACGCCGACGACGCGGGAAGGGCTCAATGGAAGGAGGAGGCTTGCAATATTCCTCGGAAATCCTCAGTTTGGCAACGCGGGAGTGGACAAAGAACAAACCCCCTCCTTTTCACCGTTCAAACTGCTGGTGTGAATGAGCTTGACTGGGCTTGTAGCCATGCTTTTCCACATCGTTGCTTTCTTCAGCCCGTTGTCTGTGCACTCCGTATATCTGCTCCATTAGCCAAAAGTCTAATCCAGCCTTATCGACGTATGCAGCTTGTGTAGCATTCCCCCTTTCCCCCTTTCCAAATGCTACGTGCGTAGGTTCGCCTGCTTGCCATTGCCGACATGTTGGCCCAACCGCATAACTATATTCCCCGACTACCAGTCCTCAAAACAGAGAAAGAAAAAAAAGAGGAGCCGAATTTTAAAGTGTGGGTTGTTGGCGCTGTACCGCCAGAGAGCAGACCTGCTTCTAGAACGTTACTCGATGGCGTCCCAAGCAAAGCAAGCATAACTTCTCTTCATACGATGCCGGATTTACCTGCATTACAGCGAAAAGGGGGGGAAGAGGGGCAAAACGTTACTTGACCTGTGAATTTCAGCTACCTCGCCATCACGCGCCGTACTATAATGTGCAGTGTTGTATTGGTGTGTACTTGCCACCAGCCGGATTTATCTCGCCATACGAAGTAGCACACTAACTGTAAATGCGACAAACGGCACGACATACCGCATAAGACATGTTGCTATGACTGAGAAACGCACAGTCGGGTTCATCCACTGGTCTGTGCCTTGTGTCTGGATAATAACACTAGACCCAAGGTGAAAAGGGGCTGGCCGGCCCCGAGAGCGCCTTCCGGGACCCACTTGCTTCGGCCGGTGTCTCCGGTCAATCTGTGGGAAGCAGGGACAATGCCGTGCCGGAATGGTGGGACATTGGCCACCTCATCTCTCCTCTCACACTCTCCGTCGAGACATCTTGTAAGAATGGGAGCGCTTCAATCGGCAAATGCCGCCGCCATAAGCGGGACGCTCACGAATCTAGATCTCTGACTTTGATACTGCTTGTTCGAGCCATGTTACCCGCTCTCTTGGTGCTCGGACAGCCTCCTCTTTCCCCTCTTTTGATCTTCGTCCACAGTACTTGTCGCATCGTTTCAGGGGCAATCGAACCTCCCGGGGGAAGACAGGTAGACGCCTCCCCCATCATCTGCGTCCGCCCAGATGAATTGCCGTAGATTGTATGAGGAGTAGTGAGGCATCTCCACATTCCATTCCGACCTGGTGGTTCCCGTAACTGCACCCTTTTCGCCTCCAGCCAGGAGGTTGTAACATAGAACGTAGTGCCCAAATGCTAGACAGTCCAACACCGTGCAGAGACAGTAGGGACCATCGTAAAATTGGGATGCGGTTTTTCAGTTGGCGTCGGTGCCCTAGCTTCAAGACTGAACCACGAGGCTGTGCCTGAAGCAAGGACAAATACTTGTGCGTAGGGACTAAAATCACTGAAATTTTATCCCTTTGCCTCTGTCACAGATTACACTTCATCCGGTGTCGCAAAATATCAGGGAGTTGTCTTTGTCTCTGCTCACTTCCGGCCCTATGATGGGATCAGTTAGCGTCATGCATGGAGTCACGTTGGCTTTTACTACTCATTCAAGGGGCTTGAGGCAGGTCTTTAGCTGTGGAATTGAGACTGATGGCATATTCAGTTGTCTCCGGAGGCTGCCAAAGTATTGTGTCTGATAGGCTTTCTCATGGACTTGAGAGTTCAGCTTATCGCATCATCACTGACTATGTACAACGCACTGCCTCCTGCTGGCCTACTTACGACCATTGCCTGAGCCTTTTGGTCCTCTGTGAGTTTCATTTTGGAGTAGTATTCACGCTCCAACGCTGCCTTCACTTGCTCCACCTTGTCCACTGAGATCAAATGCACGCTGCACCCACCCCAACCAGCCCCCGTTTGACGACTTCCATATGACCCAGCTTCTAGGGCAATCTGGCAGATTTTTTCGTTCTCCGGGCAGCTGTTTTCATAGAGGATACGGCAAGAGTCCTGGGTTGCGTTCATAATGCTTCCCAACTCCTTGTTGAAGAGCGTTGTGTCCGATGCCCCGGTGTGCACAGGGCGCTCTAGAAGGGTCAGGAACTTCAGAACGCGCAGTGCTTCGGTAAAGACGTGGAGAGCCCGCTGTCGCAGCATGAATCTCTCTGCTCTAATGGGTATTTTGGCCGTGAATCGGTTTTCGAGTTCTTGCACCGTCACATTGAGAACCTCGGCGATCTCCTCTCGGGTGTATCCCTCTTCCTGAGTGAGGGTATCCTTCGTAACGGTAATGAGCTTCTCTAATTCTTCTTCTTTTGTCAGGCTCTTCGCGGCTGAGTAGTCGGATGCGTTGGCGTGGTAAAAGTACGTGTCATGAAACCCCTGAAGACTGATGCCTAACGGCCCAGCATCAACGGGTAGGCGCGTCCCCGACGGGTTGAGAACGGCATTCAAGTATGCTGCCGCGAAACTCACTTCAACGACACGAAGATTGTAGTGAATAGGGGCAGTGACATGTTTGTTCGCAGTGACAAAGCTCTGCGCAATAAGGAAGCATAGCTCTGGCCGGGTTGGGGGGATTTTAACTGGACGAGCCTCAAGCCGGGGACTGAATGATACAAACAGGGCGGAACCTGGCTCTGAAAACACGGATGCCGCTTGGTCCATGCTATGAAATGTAAGGGTTAGCCTCTCCCTTCTCCCACTACGTGACGTCGATTCGGCAAATATAACTGCTTACCCGCCAGAGTTGACGCCGACAGCTCGCTCGCTTACAATAGCCAGCTCCGTCAATTCTGTCTTGTCCACCGCATCCACGCCGTTGGCTTTCATGACGGCGAGAGCACTGGTAGTAACAATGGCGGCGCTGGAGCTTAGCCCTCCGCCAACAGGGACTGTGCCATCAACCATGATATCCATGTTGACGCCCTTGAACTCTTGACCATGCTTTTTTCGAAGCAGCTGCATGGCACCACGAAGTCCACTCTTGAGGTAATTGGTCCACTCAAACTTTGAAGCATCAATCTCGACGTCGGCATCGACGGGCACGTCAAACTCGTTTGCGGCAAACTTGGAGTCTTCCACGTTCCCAATCCTCACTTTGAGCGTAGAGGCCCCCTCTGCAACGGGGGCTGACGATACGGCCATGATGGCATCCGCTGTGATAGCCATGGGCAAGACTGAGTATAGCGAATAATCGATGTGCTCGCCGAGGATGTTTACTCTCCCTGGGGAACGCGCAATAAATGTGGCTTTGTGACCGTACGCTTTCTCAAATGAGGAGAGCAAGTTGTTCCATCTCGGTGCTTCTGTAGCCAAAGCAGCAGTCGGATAGATGTCGGCAAGGGAGCCGGCAACGGGCACAAATCCGGCCATGATGAGAGATATCTGGACTATGGCGCGACGACCTGTGCAATGTTGAGCCTTGGACGCCGTTCAACGGGGGCAAATGGTGGATTTTGAACCAGACGTTGTCACCTTCAATGCTTGCTGTTTTAACCCCGCAGGTGGCACGAGAGCTGCCCCTCCTCAAAAGCTGGCTCTAGCTCTGTTGGTTGTCTGTTTGGTGATGTAAACTGGTTCTAGGTCAGGTGAAGAGGAATGAATGCAGGCACGCAAGGGCCAGGGACCAGGGAAGCGCACGCGATATGCGAGATGGTCCTGAACGAGATCAACCAGACCATTTCTGATTAGGCTTTGGAGGGTGTTGCCAGCAACGGGAATGGCACAGGCAAGCAATGGCCATTTGAGGGTCGCAAGCCGCCGCCTCTTATTAATCCGACGCCCAATGACCTCATTTTGTCCACGCAGGACTGGTTTCGGTCCAGTCGCCGTGAAAAGGAAACAAAAATGGGGTCGACTATCTACATAGTTATCTTGCCCGGGCAGCTTGCAGAATTTGACCAGATGGCACCGGGGGTTTGTGGAGCTAGTCCTCCGGGGCTCCTGATAGGCGCGCAAACCGCAAACGCTCAAGCTGGGGTGAGGAGTTCAGGCCCCAGGGTGCCGGCCGTCTGGTTATAATCCTGCAGTCCCCAACATTTGAAGCCCCCACAAGTGCACCAACGACCCCGCACTAGGACTAGTACTCGGTACTCAGTCAGTCCGTTGACATCTAGACTCAAGGGACAAGGGACTATTATCTATTGACCAGACTATGAACAGCCATAGCCACCCGCATTTCTTGGCGCTATTTTTTTTAACAAGTCCATTCGAGTCCATCGTCGAGGAAGAAGGCGTCGGTCAGCTCGGGGGTAGAGATTCGCACCCATAAGAAGAGCCGTTAAGGCTTACATGTAGCAAGCAAATGTCATTTTTTTGCTTCGGGCCCCGTCTTCTCGGCACATATGCCCTCATTTCATTTGTATGTTGTTACGGAGTATTCGGGAGAGAGTTGACTGGTACTATAATCGGACCAGACATGTACCTGCCCTGTTACCTGGTAATACCAAACACCTTGCCAGCTGCGCAGGTCGAGTGCCATTCGTGTGCCAGTAGTTGCCGGCTGTCGTGTTTTCGCCAATAAACCCAGGTGCCAATTATATGATTCTGCTCAATCCCAGCGTTCTAAAGCAATGAATGGTCCAGGTAGCTCAAGTGACTGTGAATCCCTTTGTGTCACCCGACATCGTTGACCGCTCCTCGCCTCTCCATGTTCCATCAATCGATTCTTTTTCAATTCTAGTCATTCAGCAAAACTCATACCCCACGGCCGTTTCCCCGCAAGAATACGCGCCGCCAACATGGCTTCTCCAGTCAGGGACCTGGAGCCGGGTTCTCTCTACGTAACCATTTCTCTTCCGTACCCCATCGAAGACGCTGATGCAGCATCGAGGCACACCTTCAACTCCAACTCGTCTCGCGGGCTTGACATAGCCACTTACGAAATTCACTGCGCTCAGGACCTAGCCCAGGAAGAGTTCAACTGGGGCCTATACTTCCACCGCGGAAACCAGGACGGCATCTGGTATGCCTTGACGAGACAAGACGTGATGAGCTACTCTGCTCCCACACTCTTCCAGCTATCACGGCAGCAAATCAAGAGCTCGCCACGCCTTCATTGTCAGGTTGTCGGTCTGGTGAGAGTTTTACGCATTCCAGAAATTCTGTGCAGAGAGCTCACAACCTACCTTGACTGGCTGGCATTGGGGTCATATGGCACCGTGACTCGCACATTTATATGGGTGACGTCTATGTATATTCGAACCTGGCACCACATTATCCCCAAACCGGAGAATCCAGCCTTGAGGTATGGAATTCAGTTTGACGTTAACTTGTTCCTTCGAGAAGCTCTGAGCTTCGCCTATGCCGAGGTGCCGTACACAATAGGCGGTCAGCTTCCCCGACCAATCATCAGGTCAGCTTTTGGCGTTGAGCTGGGTATCAGCGAAGAAAACAGATCTAGCAAGAACGAGATACGAACAAACGCCGAGGCTCGGAACAGGAGGCAAGCTTTTCCGGGGTCATCTACTTACCAGGGTGACGGATTTTAACCTCCGTCTAATTGGATGACTGATGTTGGGCAGGCTCGACAGTGGCTGGCAGCCACCACTCATGGCAGAAGTCGATCTAGGTCAGGAGAAGTTAGACAGGCGATGATCCGTGATATGCTGAAATGATGGGAACAAGCCTTAAGACTATTGGTGAGAGGCATCATCGTAAAAGACCGCCGGGGCTTTAGATTGGCGATATCTTTGAACACAGACGTTATGTAATATTAAAATGGCGGTACCCAGAATTGACATGCCATACGGATTACTCCGTAGTATATCTGTAGTTTCGTGTTTCCCTGCTGGCTGTGCAAAAGAAAAGTTCAGACAGTGTGGAGATTCTTCAAGCTATCTGGTGTACGCGGATTATGCGGATTTTAATCTCGAAACATTGACCGAGTCGTGCCGTTCTTCGACTAGGCTGCGTGCCCGGCAGATTCTGGTATGTGTTGTTGCCCTGCGCCACTAGCCGACCTGAGAGGACGTATGACCACAACACCTGGGTGAAAGATGGGATGTGGTGCTGAGGGATATTCGTGCCGATGCCGACAATGTACAGGGAACCCAGATGCGGGGTGGGGTTGGTAGCGGCAACACAGACCGACTTGCTCCGTACGGAGTACAATATAACCCCTGAATGTTTAGCCAGGTGTGACATAGCAAGGGGGGTTATAACCAATAAGACATCACTATTACAGAGAGCATATGGGGGTTAAAAGTACCTGATAACGCGATAAAAATCTCTTATCAATAAAGGTCACTATAACAAGAGCTATTATTCCCTTGTTATTTGGCCTATAATATCACTAACAGCCACTAATATAAATAATAAGAGCTCCTGTTAATAGAAAAGTCCCTGTAAATAACCCCCACTAACTTCCCTGTCAGGTCACTCATGGCTAAACTTACAGGGGTTGGATTGTAAATAGGCTCGTCATGTTGTCCACCTTTGATGCGCATTGGCCTCGTCAGACTTTGCCAAGGTTCTGCATACAGCCGTAACAACAGCATTTCATGCAATTGTAACACTGTGTCTGGAGAACTTCGTTTACGAATGGCGTCTCCTGTGCGAACGATGGAAACAATGAATGGCATCTTTCTTTTGGACGAAGCGGTGACAAGGACCATACAGATCGGTGCAACATCCCTCTGATCAAGTGATCCAGTATCAACGCCGACCCTGGCTATCGCGGCAAAGGGGTCCAACCTGACAAGCCGTGTCACTGCTCCCTTGCAGACTTGTGGGTGACGTGCAGCAAGCATCGATGATGTGTCCAGTCCGGAAGTAGCAGTTCCATTACATGGTCATTGGTCCTCGTTCCAGGGCTGACGGATGCTAGACCCATGACTAGTACATGCATCGAAAGTTGCGACGCAGGAAAGTTTCCCGATTTCTAGAATATCAATGTGTCAGACTAGTACCACAGCAAATCACTGTGTGAAGATGCTACCAACCGAAAACGGTCGGGTGTGGTTCCATCTCACCCTTCCACCAGACACTTCAACAGTCCTGCAGTGCTGCATCGTGGCAGCATCGTGGCAGCCCACCAAATACCCGGCTTGAAATACAGCAGAGGCACCCGCATGAGGCCGAGTGGCCTTGTAGAGCGATACGTGAAGCGCGAATCAGTGGTGTTTTCAACTGCCGAGATCCTTGTCCTGATAATGATCGATGAAAGCACACCACCTAGGCACAGCAGACTCTCCCACCAACGTCATTCGTCGCCACCTACACAATTAGCACCGGCGGACGCCTGGTGAACTTTATCGCCGTACAACATCGATGGTGGTAATGAGGGGTTGTCTGGTTGTGGCGGTTGAAAGTGGGGGAAGGAGCTGACGCCTGGGATCTTGGCCCACCCTTTAGCGATTGTCGAAACAAGATTTAAAAGGGGACCTTAGTCCCCCCATCGAAACTATTCGTCTGACCGTTACTCCTCAGCTTTTGTCAACACATCGTTCAGAGGAAAAAAAGCACTTTTACACCTCCTACCCACAAAGACATCAAACACTTCATTTAATCATGGCTGGCGATTGCGGATGCTCTACCTCTGGCTCATGCAACTGCGGCTCTGGCTGCACTTGCGCCAACTGCCCTGTAAGACGAGCCCAAGCCTGTCCAAGTCCAACAACTCGACATGACTAACATAAGGCTGTGTTTGTAGCATAAATAAAGGATTCATCCTCCTCAATAACGCCTGCTACACCAGGTTGGGTCGACGATCAAGAAAGTGTGAAGTACAGTAGCAGGGTCTAGCTGAGCGCCTCGAGTTGTTTAGTGCGTCTGAGAGGGGGTGGTACGCAAGCCGCTCTCTATTTTGGTGTTTCCTATGATGAGTTGGTTGATGGCACGGGGTTGGTTCAATAGGCTTTGACATCAAATTGATCACTCGGTTTGATACTCTGACTTCTTTTGCTTGCAAATGTATAAGTTATGCCAGACGCGAGACAATTTCCTCACCAGGGTCATAGTGCCCACATGTACCCTTACAAATCCCTTCTGTTATGTACGTCCTTGTGCGTTTGACGTCATTGAATTTCCGAGATGTGTGTCCGGGAAAAAGGCCAGGCCGGGACTGAAAGATTCTGCTTGTGCCTTCTGTATTTCATCTTCATGTGCATCGCCACTTTCGACCTCCGTCCACCTGTTTTCATGCAATAAAATATTATAGTCGCTTTCCATTATGTACTCAACGTCTGTCAACACTCTCCCGCTGTATAGCGCTATGGCGGCAGTGGCCATTCCTACGTAGGTAATGTTTAGTCTGCATATGCCTAGCTCAGCTATTCGTCCGACGTGCTCATATCGGCAGCCTGTCAGCTCTGTAGAGGTGAACTTCCGGACCAAATTGAAACACCACAGCCCCGATAACAAGAAGTCATACA